GGGGCCGGAGGCCGCGGGGCAGCCCCGCGCGCGCCCGGATGTGCCGCCGCCGTCTTGAGTGATTTGGAAGTGTGGAAAATGGGATTACCCGGGAACAGATGTGCACAAAAGGGGTGAAATGGAAAGTGTCGCCGGCGGCCTCTGATTACCTCTGACGGCGCCGCCCGCGCCCGGGGCGCCTCATTGAAATTGAATTGATACTTTGCGGACTTCATTTGTGAATAATGCGAGCTGACAGCGACAAATGTGACGGGGGATTGTTTTCAAACCCGCGCCGAGTGAAACTCATTATTGGGTAAATACGGGCCTTTGTCCGGCGCGCCTGCATATGCAGCGGGTAATTGAAAGCGGGGGCGCCGCACCCCGGTCCGGCCCGGCCGCGCAGCCAGACCCAGTTAGCGGGATTGATGAGGGCGGCGAGAGGAGGCGACGCGCGCTGATGCCACCTTTTCAGCTTCGATTAGCCGGCCCGGGACTCATTCCCCGCCGCGGGCCGGGGCGGGGCGGCCCTCGGGGCCCAGGAAGGCTTCAGTGCCGGCCATTACGCGGGCGGGCCGGGCGGGGCGACCTGGGTGCCCGCGGGCCGGGGCGGGGCGGAGGGGAGCGGACCTCAAGCCCCAGCGTCGCTGCCCCTTTCCCGGACGCAAAGCTGTGGTATTCTGAAGGGTAGACTGAGGTTTGCTACCGTTTACCTTATACGTTTTTAAAAAACAGGACAAATAAGTATCTGGGAAAATCTAGCAAATAGCCATTTCTGCCCATTAGTAAACGTTCTTCTTCGTGCTGTGTTTTGCAGAAATATTTCTGTTTTGCAAAGTTGAGAACCACATTAAGAGCTTCTGACCATGTTTCTATGGAATCATGTTCAAAGTTGAAGTACTTGGCTTTCATGCGAATTCCCTGCCTGCCTGGATGTGGGACCTGCACGAAGGACCATGCTATTTCTCGGATCATGCCCACAGAATGGAGACTGTATGTCCTGTTTGCCAGTAGGTCATAATACTGAAAATTTCATTACCCAGAAAGGTCGTGCTATCCTGTCCAAAGAATGTAGACAGTGAGTCAGACAGAAGCAAACTAACTGTCAGAAGAATCAATGCACACAGCTTTGGTTTTAGCTAGTTAGGGGGCAAAAAATCAGCACCTTCGATTTTTCAATTGTGGTCACCTGGCCACTTAAGCTAAACAAATGCTTCCTTCATTCCACAGGTTAAACCTTAAAAATAGACGAGGAGACAGGTAATAAAGAAATTGAGTAACAAAAAGTTACTTGTTACAGAACTAACCTTAACTCACATGTAATACTGTAATGAATTTTCCAGTCCTCAGCTGACCCAGTCAGGTAGTGTTCAAGACTTCACATTGCAACCTATAATGTTTGTTTCACTTCGTGTAAAGACACTTAGGCTATCACCAAGAATGATGGGAAAGCTTTCTTTTGTAAAAGAAACAGCATCATCTGTCTAGGAATCTGGTGGTCAAAAAAAGCTTGCTTTAAAATATAGCTGATCTCAAAGCCATAATAATAATCAAAACTGCATGGTACTGGAATAAGAATAGACATATAGACCAGTGGATTCGAATAGAAAACCCAGATATAAACCCACAAGTTTATGGACACCTAATTTTTGACAAAGGAGCAAAGAAGATATAATGGAACAAAGAAAATTTGTTCAGCAAATGGTG